CAATGGTGTACTCTGTTTCCTCCCGTGTCCACACTCAGTTCAGAAAACAACCAATAGAAACACACTCTTAAAACACTTTATGTAATGGAAACAAGAACTAAAGTCTGGGGAGAATATGAATCTCTCTTTGCTGTGAACAATGACCTACACTTTCTACACTGTATTTCAGACTTCTGTACTGTGACTCTTCCCAGGAAAAACTGCCTGTACATTGCATTTTAATATCTAACTTTTCTAACACTCATCTGGGGCAAGGACAATGACACACTCCTTTGACAGTGGTTACTGAGGAAACACCAACGGATTTCAGACTGCCCTCTGGCATTGTAGAGCTGTCTTTTTCCTGCACAAAGTACACAGTGCTCTAAAGCACAAGTGTGGTACTGGTAAGTAGTTGGGAATCAGCTCGTGAGCATCTGCTTATGAACTTCAGTGACACTGGGGTGACTCTCCTAACAGCATGGTTAAACTAACAACTGCCTGCGGTGCTCACTGACTGACCTCTAAACGCCTCCGGTGTGCTCCCTTCCCTCAAGCAGCTGTGCAGGACTTAGGACAACCAGCAACTCACTCCTCACAATATTCACCCTATGCTGATGCCCACTGTTCTTCACATAAACCAAAAGAAGAGAAGGAAAGAGATGCAGGGCCAGGTCTTCTACGCCTGACAAACACTCTGGATCCCCTCCCTCTCCTCTCAACACCACTCCTGCCCTTTACTTCCTAATCACCATCTTGCTACGCACACCAGTCCTCCCAGGTGTCCTGCATGCTCGGCCTGGCTGGCATTTCAGTGTGATATTTACTCTATCTGTATGGGAGGGTGTTTCTTCTTTCGCAGCTGGCTCAGGAAGCAGGGGTCAGTTGGCTGTGCAATGCCAGTCACTCACAATGCTGCCAGAAAAAAAGCTTGTATGGAGTTGCATGCTTAATACTGACACCTACATAATTCAGATCCTGGATGCAAGAGTTGCGAAGATGCCACAGTGGATGCACACATGTCTAAAGCTTCTGATGGCTAATAAAGCAAGTTCTCCTATGAAGGAGCTCTTCAGCACTCAAGGGAGTGCTTCGCAGGACTACTGCAAGGGGCACACACAACATGACATGGTGAGTTTTCTATTGTTTTGGCTTTTCAGCTATTGGCCAAAGTGCTCACTACCAAGTGGCTGGAGGCCTCTTGATCAATCAAAAGGAGATGAGAGTGGCAGAATGACCCTGCTGTGGTCAATCACAAACTCATGGTGATGTTGCTGCATTATATGACTCTAGGAAAGTCATCACCTCTGTCCTTTCTCACAAGCTGAGATCCAGAAAACCACCCCTTTATTGGGACCCCTAAAGATGATGGGGTACACCAGCTGGGCAGATTCCCAGTGCTAGAAACATTCAAGCATGGTGGTCCAGAGTTAATGTATCCACTCCACACTAAAACATCACATAAGCATCAGTCTAGTCACCAACTCAAGGAGAACTACATGGAACATACAAGGCAGAACTTCAGAGTGATCATCCTCAAGCTGGGGAGATGGTTCAGTGTGTAAGAGCACTGGTTGCTCCTGCAGATGATTCAAACTCTATTCTTAGAACCGCACAGTGGCTCACAGCATCTGCAACTCCAGCTTCAGCGAGTCCTCTTCTGCCCTCTTCCTGTGAACACCAGGCACACATGTGGTACAAAGACATGTGTGCAGGCAAAACACTCATCACACAAAATCATGAATAATAAGTAAGTAGATAGTCCTTGTCTACTCTTAAAGGGTACAAGTGTGTAATGGACTCAGAAACGTGACGCTGTTGGTTACCTCTTCTGGTCTCCATTCCCACACTAGCGACAAGGTAGAATTCTGCTCGTTATACTCTGGAGATCCCTGCTATCCGAATGCAGCTGCACACAGTCTAATATTTCACAGTGTGTAACACACGAAAAATGGCCAAAATGTCACAGCAGACTGGCAATATCTGGCCAAAACCCCCTAGTGATGGATCCACATCCATTCAGAGGCTGCCTATCTGCTAACTTGCCAACTGTGGCCTCCAATCCTGTGCTGGGAAAGAAACACAGGAACCATTTCTCTCACAGGTCACTTGTCCAGTTGCCTCAGCCAGAACAGATGGAACGTCCATTCCATGCAAAGGCACCAGGAAGGAGGGTCTCCATTCACTATGGGTCCACAGCATCCTACTTAGAGCTGGAAAGGGTACATCCCCAAAATACCCAACCCATGAGAAAAAAGAAGAGCACAGTGAGAATGTGGTAGGTTGTTGGCTCTGGACCTGAAGTTCCAGGGCTCTCTGCCTTCTCCAGAACAACAGCAAGCCACCTATGAATCTTAATGGGGACAAGAAACATTCTAGAAAAGGTAGTGGGGCCTCCTCTAAAGCCTGTCATGTTGTATCTGCTTTCCACTGGAGGATGTGAGTGCACTGGAAGTCTACTCTGACAAGGTTAAGATTCCCAACAACCAAAACAACAGCCAGACCCCAAGTGATGATAGATGCTGATGTTCACGTGGCTGGGAGGCAAACAGGCTTCTACCACAAATCCAGCAGCCCTCGAAGAAGTCAGCAGACCTCTGCACTCTGCTTCACTCCCCAGGCTGCAGAACACTGGCAGAGCCTCTCACGGAATTGGTGGAGAAAGGGCGCTGACTCACTGGCTGTTTCATACATTTGCAATGAATGATTCATACCCAGCCTCTGAGTACAGTGCTGTCCACGGTGCTGAAGACACAGCCTTATCCCTGGCCAAGCATGGAGCCTGAGGAGAGCATGAGTGTAAGCAGGGGCAGAGAACACTGGCTGGAATTGGTTGCTGAGAAGAAGACAGCATAGAAGTGACGATGCCATGTCATGGGGAGGGTGGAGCACAGGACCTCTCAGGAGTGGAGGCAGAGTCAGAAAGTTACTAGCAACAGTTACTGGTCACCTGACAACTCCATTAAGCTCAGCATGGAGCCTCTGTCCCAACAGTGCAGAGAAAGTGGGGGCTGAGGGACATTATCAGCCCTCATTGCCTTACTGTAAAAGTCATTATTTTTCAAGTAAGTACCATGCTTCCACGTCAAAGTCCTGCCACATAACTCTTTCAGTAACTCTAAGATGGCATTTCCATTCAAAGAATTTGCTTCCAATGATGGGGTACTCGAAATGGAACTCCCACACATAGTCACAGACTTGTTGTGAAACCCCCAGGGATAGTGCAGTCACTAGTGTTCTAAAAATCATGCACATACCATAGGAATCCAAGAAAGATAGGTGCACAGAGTTCCCAGGACATTCCTACAACAACTAGTGAAGCTATAATTAAAGTAAGACTCAAAACAAGCAAACGTGAAAAAAAATGCACAACACACTGGAACACTAAGAAGCTGAGATACTCTGAACAATAACAGCAAGGTCACAACCAAGAGCACTCCAGGTGAATCTGAGGACAGTCACCAACATCAGCCATACAGACTGAGTCACCCTGATGCCCAGTCTCCTACAGTGCACACAACTGTGGCATGCCCTTCTGCTGGTGTGTGACAAGAGTACCAGCATGCCAGTAGTCAAGGAAGCAACCTTCAGGCCCTCACTCTCAGGCAAGCTGGGAACCATCTGGATAGGACTATCCCTCTAAGCAATGGCTTACCTGCCATGGGATCCTCTGTCTGCCCTCCATTGCTGCGGTGCCTCTGTTCGCAAGCATATACCTGGCACCCGTGGCCACACACAGAGGCCTGTGTAATCGGGGAATGCTGTCACTTTGTGACATGAACTCTGCGAGACTCTACTTATGCAGTGGAGTAACAGAGCAGAAGTGCTCACTCCTGCAGCTCAAGGACTCTTGGGTTTCTCTTCGCCTGGGAGACTGGGGTGGCATCCACACTTAGAGCTCCTCTGGACAAGCAAGTGGCTAGTGACCAAGTAGAAACATAGCAGCCATGAAAACCAACTCCCTGGGGCTAGCACTGAAGCCACCAGAGCCCCACACAGCTTGACTGTGGCTGATAGTGACAGACTGGTCCTACAGTGACCAGTTCCAAGTGATACCTCCAGGTGAGTCCCTCTTTGGTTCTCTAACAAACAGGATTTGCTGCTTCATATTGAGACACAGTACACACTCATGACAGGTCCAGGGTATGATACAGCCCATCCTGTCATGGGAGACTGTTAAGTGCTAGGTCTTCCCTAGGGACCATGACTCCTCAAGGTCAGGTCTCTTGACCTTTACCCATCATTCTTGGAGCCCGGCAGGGTACCTACTTAATACACTTTGCTGGATTGGATTTAATCAGGTGAGCTGACTGACTGCAGAGCATCCGTGTCTCCTTACAGGCATGCACATGCACACACAGGCACACATGCGATGGGCATTGACACCAGAGTGTACGATATCAAGTAAAGCAACAATTCAAACTGGAAACAGCCACAGCAGCATCATGCCATGAAGTCTGAAGCCATGGTGTCTCAATTCTATCATATCAGCCACTGGCCACTGTGTGAAGGCCCTGGGTAGATAAAGTCAACTTCTAACCACATAGACAGGGACTGCCCAGGAGCCCCATGAGTGATAGTCACAGTTCTTCATCCCCGTACACGCCACAGTATTGACAAGAAACCAAAGGAAAGGACAGGGACATGGAGGGACCTGGGGATGTCACCTGGCACAGCCTTCCCTCCTCAGGAGCCCACAGAAGAGTAACCTGCACGCTTTCAAGCTGAGGTGGTAGGTGATCGATAAACGTTTCATTTATTATTCAGTCAGGTGATTTGGAAAAGGGAAATGGTGGGACATGTGTTCTTTCCCACAGCTGGGTGGAGGGGTTCTGCAACCATGGGTAACCTAGGAAACACCTGGACTAGAAGTGACAGCTGAGGACAAACATCTAAGAGAAAGAGTATCGGAAGTGAGGAGCAAATGGGGAGAAATTGAACGAAGTGAAGGGGGCTGTGAACACACAGCACCCGAGCAGCCTCCAGGCTTCTTCCCGTGTATGAAATATGTAGCATCCTACCAGGCCACGTTGCCATGGGCCCCGTTGTCAAGGTGACAGAGCAGCTCCAGGGTCTGCGCAGTGCTTGCAGGGTCATCAGGGGACTCGTGGCTACCGGATTCTAATTCCTTGGGCATCCTCCACACAGCTGCACATGCTTGGACTCGACTGTCTGAAGCTAAGCAAATGGAAAAATGTCAGCAGGGCTCAGCTCCATATACACTCAACACTTACACATATCTGCAAGCAGGGCACATTGCTCCCTAAAATACTAACGTGCAGGCAGCAGAGTCAGTCCAACCTGAGCAGCCAGCAGAACAAGGCAGAGTCAACATCAGCAACAGGAAGCCCACCATCCCTGGTCTATAAACCATTATTCTCTTTAGAAGGTTTAACCTCCTCCAATAAAGTTTCACCATGTTCTTTGACAGTGGTTTTTAAGAAAGGGAACAAGATGGAGACACTGCCATAACTGCCAAGCCATGCTGGGGACTCTACTCACAGCTTCATGAGGTCATAAACAGATGTCAAATACTGAGATTTCCTCATTACTCAAATGCTCTGTCTCAGTTTGTCTGAAAGGGTCAGTGTCTGGATCCAAAATACAGGCACTGAGAAGTGCTACCAGATGAATCTGTGCCCTCCTGCCCAGCTAGCATGGGGAGGAGAGCAGTCAGTACGCAGGTGAGAAGACATTTTGCAGGAATTGAGTTGCCCCTTCCACTCTGTGAATCCCAGGGATTGAATTCAGGACTCAGGCTTGATGGCCAATGCCTTTCCCCACTGAGACTTCTCTCCAGGCCTTCAATAGATCTTTGTATGTGCGTGCGCGCGCGCGCGCACACGCACACACACACACATACACACACACACACACACACAATAATTAAGTAAATGAACCACTAAGTTCAGCTGGTTATATCACAAATCTAAGTATCGAAACAACAGGCAAGATAGCAGGTGCCATAGTTCCTGCTTATGACCCCAGCACTTATAAAATAGGAGGAGGAAGACTACAAAGTTCACAATCTGCTGTGCTACATAGAGAGATTCTGCGTCAAAATAGGGAGAAAGAAGAGGGAGAGGAAGGAAAGAGAAGGGAAGGAAGGTGGGAAGGAGGGTGGGAGACAGGAGAGCTACCTGCTTGATAACAAGAATCTAGAAGGAATTGCAAGATATCATGGGGCATCACTCTCAGTAATACAGATGCAAAAATGATAATAAATAAAGCTTGATGGTGTATACAAAAAATAGCAATGTCTCAAGGAAATGAGGTTGGGTCAGCAAGACAGCTTAAAGGGAAAGGCTTTTGCCTCTAAGTCTGGAAACCTGAGCTCAATCCTCAGAACCCACAAAGTGGAAGGAAACAATCAGCTCCTGCAAGCTAGCCTCTGACATCTAGATGCACTCTGTGGCATAAGTGTGGCACCAACACACTTAAATCAGCGGATGGATGAAATCGTTAAAAATACAAACAAGGAAAAAAGGTTAATTCCACACTAAGCAACCTAACTCATCACATTAACAAGCTAAAAGGGGAAAAGCATGATCACCATGATAGACAATATTATGTTCTGAATTGTGTAAGTACTGAGATGACAAAATAGAACTAAATTAATATAATCACTATCTTATAACATCTAAACTCTACTCCCTTACTAATTTTCAGGTAAACAATAGACTTCTGGAACCATGAACTTACCCCACATGTCTCAGTGAAATTTGTGTCTTTAGATCAACATTCTCCGTTAGCCCCACCAGAGCCCTGGTTAACCACCATTCCCTCTTCCTCTATGACTGGATGAAGTAGGGTAATACAGAGCTGTTTTGTGCTTGGCTTCTTAACACTCAGCACAACGCTTGCCACACTCACCCCAGGTCTCACCAGTTAGAATCTGCCTCTTTCCCAGGCTAAGTGGCATTCCATTGTGTATATCCTACCCTGCAGCCACCCACACCTCCTCCATCCCAACTCACTTCATAGTACAAGCCCTACTGCCCACCCTCGCCTCCCCTTCAGCTTCATTTTCCATTTCTTGTGAGCACTTTCCTAGTGCCCTGGCCTCTCTGCACACTCTCACAGAAATATACATGCATGGCAATTATGATAGCTGAGTGTGATGCACACACCTTTAATCTCAGCACTCAGGAGGCAGAAGCAGACTGATCTCTGAGTTGGAGGTCAGCCGGGTCTACAGAGCTAGCTCCAAGACAGCAGAGGAAATAAAGCAAAGAAAGGGCCAGAGAGATATCACAGTAGGTAAAGTCACTTGCTATGTAAGCCTACAGTTTCAAGTTTGATCCCCAAAATCCACAGTGAAAGAACAAACTCCAAGGAAGTTTCTTCTGACTTCCAGTAGCATGCTGTAGCACACATGCACCATACTCACACTCTCAAACACACAATAAGTGAAACCTGACTTTAAATTTCAAAAACTTACAGACATGCATGAGACATAACATGTGATAGTTCCTTCCTAAGCCCAGGTTATCTCACTGAATGCATTTTCCATTTCCATCTATTTTCCTCAAACTTTCAAAGGAAACACTTCTAATATTTTTTACTGCCATTCCTCAGCATGGATTCTGCCTTGCTTGACTTTGAATTCTTGTTGCCTGAGTTGCTCACTGCGTCTCAACCAAAATCCTTCAAAGAGGGTCTGGAGAAGCAGTTCAGCAGACAAGAGCACTTGCTGCTCTTGCAGAGGACCTGGTTTGGTTTCCAGCACCCACATCAAGCAACTCACAACCACTCCAGCTCCTGGAGATCTGATACCCTCTTCTGGTCTGAAAGGTATACACACAGTATACATATATATACACAGAGACTAGACAGACAGACAGACAGACAGACACACACACACACACACACACACATTTGTTTGTTTTTTAAGAGAAAATCACTCAAAATGTTGGCTTGGGGTTAGGATAGGATTTTCAACTATTTTTAAAAACCTTGAACCCACATCTACAATTTTGTGCTGTGTACTTTTTCAACACTGTTTTCTCAGTATTGATCATGATAATCATGGAACCAAATTACTCATCATCTCCAAAGAAGACTGAAGATGCCCCGCGTCCTGCAGTGTCAACTGAGAACATAAGCACATCCATCTCCTATTCTATTCCCTTCATCTGTAATAAATACTAAGATATATGCTCGCCAAAGAATTGTTTTAAATTTCTTTAGGAACTGATTATGTTTGATAAGCCTAACTATTTCATATATGTCAAGTAGTAAAAATATTTCTCAGGGGAAAAGAAGGGGTGCCACTAGGCATGGTAGCATATGCCTTTAACTCCAGCACTAGGGAGGCAGAGACAGGCAGATTCTGTGAGTTGGAGCCCAGCCTGGTCTACAAAATGAAGTTCCAGGACATCCGGGGCTGTTACACAAAGAAACCCTGACTCAAAGAAGAAGAAAATAAAGGGAGGGGTGGGGAGTCAAGTGGAAAGGTTCAGCAACCCCACTCCAGCTGAAGAGAAACAACAAACCAGTTAGCTGAGACTGCTGGGAGATGGCTGGGCAGAGGGCAGCACAAGTGCCGCCATCCTAAGGTCTGACCAATTGGCTTGTACAGCGGACACAAGCAAACCTTACCAGACACTTTGTAAAAGGCTGCCAATCAACACACATACCGTTCTATCGCCTGACTGTGGCCCTGAAAATATCCACTGCAGTGATGCTGTACAGACTGAGCGGGGAGTACTTAGGATATATGTATACACATATACACAAGCAATAATAATAAAAAAGAGGACATAAATTTGAAAGAGCAGTGAGGGGTGTATGGAAGGGTTTGAAGGGAGAAATGATGTAATTACAATCTCAAAAATAAAAGAAAAAATATTACAAATCAATATATTTTTCTAAAAATTGGTAAGTAAAAAGCAGAATGGATTGTAAAGTATATGTAAATTTATTTTGATTTCTGTTCCAGAGCTTACACTGAAATTTTAATGGATTCAAGAATATCCAAAATTACCCAGAAAATGGTGTTAACGCAAGAATGCACCAGGGAGACCAGAAAGCTGCAAGTGTCTCACTTAGGCAGCAACTGCCCACACCGTGGCCCTAGAGACAAAACCAGCTAATAAGAACTGTGGTGTCAGTCCAAGGAGTACAGTAGGTACTACCAAAAACTCTCCATCCTCAGGAACAGATAAAATCTAAGGTAAACAGAGCTAAGCAAGAAACACAGGAGGTATGCCAAGGAGACACACAAATTGATTCTGAGACTCTGAGGATTTCCATAGCTGCCTGCATCTCAGCAGAGCAGTCAGTGCACATCCAGGGGATATCAAAGAAGCAGAGGGACTTTCAAGGAGGAACGCTCACCTTTAGAAGCAACGGGCTCTAATAACCAGGGAGGCATTTGGCTTTCAACCAGGAAGGCATTCGGCTTTCATCTCTATAGTAACACTTGCCTGAAATAAGGTTCTATGATGTAACCACCTGGGCAAATTAGCATTACCATGACTAGGAGCCTATAGAGGGCACCAGGCACAAACCCTGCATTAAACAAAGCCTGTGGCATGGTACAAGAGACAAGGTCTGTATGCAACCAAGACAACACACCAGGTACAGACTCTGTATAGGAGCAGGCCACAGCACAAGAAACAAGATCTGCACACAACCAAACCAGGGCACCAGGCACAGCCTCTGTACACATCTAAGACAGGGTACCGGGCACAGCCTCTGTACACAGCTAAGCCAGGGCACCAGGCACAGTCTCTGTATACAGCTAAGACAGGGCACCAGGCACAGCCTCTGTATACAGCT